AAAAATAATAGTAAAAAAAAAGTTACTTTCCATAAAAATATCAATATGAAAAAACCTGTTCACTTTTATATTCCTGCACGTCAAAGCATGATTCTTCGTTAATAGAATAAGGCCCTGCTCATCTTAATCTATACTATAATAAAACTGTAGATTGTTTGTCTGTTTGAACTCACTAATCTCCGGAACTACTGAATGGGTTTTTATGGGGCTTTAACCGGTATATAGAGAGCAACCTCGGACGTAATCTAGGGTATAAAAAATGAGATCTGACAAGGGGGCGTGGCACCTCCAATAGGCGTGACATTTTTAATCAGCTATAACTTCGAAACCGTAAGTCACATGACTTCGAAATTGGATTTGTTGACATACATATCTATGGTAGATGCTTATAGTAAAGTACACATTTTTTTGTAAAAGGGGCGTGGCACATCCTATAGGAGTGCAATTTTTAATCAGCCATAACTTCGGAATCATACGTCACATGACTTTGTAATTGTCCTCTGATTCGTAAAATATACTTTTGCAAAAAATGGTGCCGACAGATGGCGCCGTAGTCGAGATATTTCGAGAACCCGTCTTTATCGTATGACCTGGCTTAACGGGTATTAGCTTTATGGTAAGAAGTGTTTCTCACGATATTTAGATGGCCCTATACAAATTTACATTTTAGATGAATTAGAGAGAACATGGTATATCAATGACCCGTTTGAACGGCAAAACTCTTTCAACCTGTGGAACAGCAGGATTATAGGAGAAGATTACGCACTCTCGCAAACTTTGCAATACTTGCAAATATCTCACAGGTGGAAATAAAAGCTCATAGCATCGAAGGATATGAGTACTTAACCCGAATGTTACCTCAGCGCTTTTATTCTTGGCCCATGAGTAAGCAAGGTTCTGATCTTCAGTCCTTTCAACCTAAACTAATAATTTTTTTATTACAAACCGTTTTTGCATAGCAACACTATTTTACTATTGGTCAACGTAAATGTTCTTATAAGGCGTCGCGAAGCAAGAAAGGCATTTGCTAGTTGAATAATAAACGTAGAAGTTATGAGCACTTAAATAGAGATACATACAAAAATTTCAACACAAATTTATGATTTGCATATTATGGAGCACACACCTTTTACTAAAATTTTGAATTACTATATCTCAGAAATGGTAATCCTTAGCGTTTTGTTGGAAAGTTCAAAAAATCAAGTTATGTGACCTTAACCTTGAATAAGTTTTTTTGCAGACGTGGGATCGATGGGGAGTTTTGACATTTCATTCATAATAGTGTTCGCAACATTCGCACCGATTTTCAGCTTTGTGCGAATTATTGTAAGCTATTTGTTGAGCTAACTTGGCTAGGCTATTGATCTTGCGGCCCTTTAAATAAGAAATAGATATCAAAAGTTAATTCTTCGTATCAAAAAACCCCCAAATACAAATTTGTATTACAAAAAATTACATTCGTAACACTTTAGTAAATATTAATCTGCATATTAACTTATCATCAATACCTTCTTTTAAAATTACGCAGGCTCGAAATTGACTTAAGAGCTATGGTCTGGAGGAATTTTGTTCTTAGAATTTTATGAAGAATGCGAATCTGCTAGGAACGATGTCCAAAAAACTTTATCCATAACAATTGACCCGCCCTAATATATATGTATATATATATGTATATATATATATATATATATATATATGCTAGCAGACCCGCGAACTTCGTCCCGCCCAAAATTAGATTTTTCTCCAACAATCCACATTTACGATTTGTACTGCCACATTCATTGACTAAGACTATGGTTTGGTGGTCGTTTTCCGCCCTAAATAGTGTTATGTCCGTGAGAAGTTCCCTGGTGGCAACAATGATCCGGGTCTATAGTGAATGTGCCCTAGAAACTTTAACTTATAGTTGGTGGCTATTTCAAAATGGATGCGTATCCTTGTTAAACAGAAATACAATATGCATACATAGACTGAGATGAAATACCTTAAAAGACAGATTCACGAAAGCAATTTAAGTGAAAAATGATTTTTTTCTGCCAGGTTCTATATTAAATTCAATTAAAAAAATACATTTTCATTAAATTGCCTTCATGAAACTGGGTTTTAAGGTACTTCGACAGGTGGTGAGATTTACCACTGCACAGCTCAACCCTGGTGTCTCCGAATGAAGCTGTAACGCATAATAATATTGGCAAATCACAACCATTGGGCCAATCTAACACACGAGAGTTCGATATACTCAATGGTGCAACAGGCCGATTTATATTACGTTCAAATTGGCCCCATTTAACTTGTTAAAGATCTTTTTGGAAAACACAATCGTCCACATTGAACATTTGGAGTTAACTTTGACGTTTGTTTGATTACCAATAAAGATTGGAAAAAAATATTCAAAATCAAGTTTTTGTGTTTCAATTTGTTTTGTGGGAATGTCTGCTACATGATATTAACTCATACGGATTACTTAGAAACTTCAAAGTGTTTAGTTCGTATGCACTATTTATATCTGCGTACGATGAGACCTCATGGGAAATAACTAATTGCCGCCTTGGCCTCTTTTTTGGCGGGCAGGCATGCATACAATTTTGATATTTTTTGATAATTTTTAATTTTTTATATTTTTCAGAATATAAATTTGTTGAACGTTGGCGTGTCAGATGAAAGCTTTTGGGTCTTTATGATTGGCTGGAGCAGAAAGCTTTCCGACACAACTCCGCGTTGAACTGGTTTTCAAATGATGATTTAACTGGTTCAATTTTCCAACAACAATTGCATGAGATTTAACTTGTTTATGAACGTGTTTTGTTCATTTAACTGGTTCAAGCTGGTTCAAGCCCATTTAACATGTTTAGCTCGTCAATTTGAACGTAGTATTAGTCTGACATTCACGGCACCTTTTCTCACTTGTCAATTTGTAATAATAACTCGACCTCAGCATCACCTGCCAGCTCTTTTTTGCAATCGGACTGCCTTTATCGTTTCCAATACATGTTTTGACTATTCGCCAAATCGGATCATAAAAAAGATTGTTAGTAATAACTCAACTCCAGACACCCAATCAAACACACACACAAAACTTTCTTAAAATCCCTCCAGCCATTTAGGATGTCACTCACATATATACCTACGGAAGAATTATATACACATTCAAAGATAAGTAAAAGTCAGTACGTTTGTACTTTGCCACGCCCTCTTTTCATATATCTCCATACCAAGTTCCAGTACTCTACCATGAATACTTCCAGAGATATGCAGTATGAAAAATTCGGTTTGTATTGGAGGTGCCACGTCCCCTTTTCCAAAAACCACAATTTTTCTCCAAGAGTATGCAATGGATTTCATATATATCTCTACCAAGTTCCAGAACTCTACCATCAACATTTCCAGAGATATGGAGTATGAAAAATTCGGTTTGTATGGGAGGTTCCACGTCCCTTTTATTTATCGAGATTTTTGTTAGCCGATAACCATCCTTTTACCGTCTGCAGCAGATGTCGGAAATTTCCAAAAAATCGGTTCAGCCGTTCTTGAGCTTTGCGATATACATATACCACGTTTATATGATGCTCCAATTCCTTCTAAGTCAAACCATGTTAAATGGACACACACATGTAAACACATTCTGTAATCGAATTGAAACTTTTAACCGTGCCACCATAAATCACATTTTGAATGTGAGTTAAGAGTTGTTGAATCGTGTTAAGAGTGCATGTTAACACGGAATTTTTCCTTACGGTTGTTTCATGCAACTTTGTATAAAGTAAACCATTTAAATAGTTCTTTAAATTACATTTATTCCAAGCTTTGTTATAAAATTAATAGCTAAGATAATTTTTACAAGGCTGTTTGAGTCTTTAATTGTTATTTTTCAATGTTCATTATTTTCTAGAGTTTACACATGTATTAACAGGGTTTCATCGGGATAACCTCTGTTTGAAAGTGTGTTCGATCGGCTCCTTTCTTGTGTCGCATATAAACTCTTGCATATCAAGCGAGCTACGCTGACGTGAGTTAATTCAAAACCGCGTTTGATGCCATATAAACAAGGTAATACATGGATGAGAGTTGCTGCTTTTAATATTGCGCTCAGTTACGTACAAAAAACATAGCAGCACGGTTTTTATCCCAGGAAGAACAGTTCCGGTTATGTCACCTGGTGACATAACCCTAACGCGTTCCATTCTTATCGGCACGAAACGTGACTTTTTTTGTATGCGTGTAATTTTTCAAACCAAATAGTTTGCCTGCTTGCTCATATGTGAAAAGATTAGCTTGACTACTTACTCATATGTGAAAGATATATGGCGCTCCAATCAAAAATTATTACAGGTGTGTTAGTAACACCATACAATTTTTGTGTTTGTGTTGGAGTTTCGGTCACGCTGGTTTTGCTGGGATGCGTAATTATATACATACATACATAAATATGCAAGAATAATAGAATACAATACCCTGCAAAAATTTTGCTTACAAGTAATGCGTAAAATCATCGAGAAACTCATTTTCATCGCTTACGTTTTCGTTTACAGAACGCATTATTTTAACATGGGCATGTCATTGGTGGTAATCGCTTACTTTCTGTGACCTTATAAAGCAATTAATATTTCCTTCTAAAATGAAAATAAATAACCGATTCCAAGTAATTGGTTCTACAATTTCTCGAAGTAATCGTTTACATGATATGACCAAGTAATTGATGTGGTAATTTCTACTTTTTAATCGCTGCAGTAAGGCATTGTAGAAATGAAAAATAACCGATTCCAAGTAATTGGTTCCACAATTTCTCGAAGTAATCGCTTACATGATATGACCAAGTAATTGATGTGGTAATTTCTACTTTTTAATCGCTGCAGTAAGGCATTGTAGAAATTAAAAATACATTTTTAAAAATTCACTTTTATTATTTCATTTGCAATAAAGAAATACTAAATTCTGTACTACAAAAATGAACATGATAAACAAAAACAAACTTCAACAAAAATAACTGAAACAATCTGAATTCAACGGGTCATAAAAAATTACGTAATTAGGGAAGTAAAACTATTCATTTTGTTCTGACAGAGCTTTTTTGTTAACACAAATATTTTTAAAATGTCGATTTTTGACGCGTCTAAGACCTGTCCTTAAAGCGTGAAGAAAGGCTTTTTCATTTATTCCGTCCTTCTCAACTGCCCCTGAAAACAAAATATAACAAATGGAACTCAAAACGAATGAATGTAATACGACAAGTACCATATAAAACTCCCATAATTTTCTTATAGTTTAGAAGCCTTTTTTTCCCCTGCTTTCCGTCTAAATTAGTATCTAAAATAAGTTCCGTCGAAAAAATGCAGTCCATATTTTTTTCAAATCCTCCATTTTTTATAAGACCTTGTACTGATGCAGCCTGGATAAGAAGAAAAGAGACAAAATACAAAACAGGGTAAATGAAAAATTCAACATTTTCACGCTTTTAAACAATCACGCTGCTTACCATTTCATTTTTTTTTTCATCAGTTATGATTCCTTCCAGTTTTTCTAGCTCCTCCTCCGTCTTGATGGGGAAGCTACCAATATACAAAGGTTTCGCGTACAAATTTTTTGAAAGTTGATACAGCGAGGTATTTTGCTCTGCCAATACTCTTAACACTCCGTCCATTTGTGTACAAAAAGTATCTAAATTATTTAATATGTATATGTGTATGTATATAGCAGTTTCAGTAATAAAAATACATGTTCAGTCAGTGTCAAATGTAAATGTACACCTTGTTCTAATATAATATCCATTAATTATTTATGAAAATATAGTTTATTCTATAACATAAACCATATAAATCACACTTTATATAAAATTCACACAATTTTCATCACAATTTCATAATTTTTATTCAGAATTTCTAGAAAATATTCGAGTATGTATGTTTTGTAGGTAGCCCGTTCAATTTTAGTAGAACAAAGTGCAAGTTTCAAGTCGCTAGAAATTACCGTTGATTTTTTAGATTTTTTTTTGTGGAGGGTGTTGGGCATTTTCTTCCATATAACGTGTGATCTAAATCTATTTTTATATGGAAGAAAATTCACAACACCCTCCACAGAAAAAAATCTAAAAAATCAACGGTAATTTCTAGCGACTTGAAACTTGCACTTTGTTCTACTAAAATTGAACGGGCTACCTACAAAACATACATACTCGAATCTTTTCTAGAAATTCTGAATAAAAATTTTGAAATTTTGATGGAAGTGTTTGAATTTTATATAAAGTGTGAAACTTTGATTTATATGGTTAATGTTATAGAATGAACATTATTTTCATAAAAAATTAATAAAATATATTAGAACAGGGTGTACACTTGCATTTGACACTGACTGTATGTAATATGAATTTTATTTTACCTTTAAGTAGGGCAATTTCATCTCTCAAATGCTTATTGTCATTGCGTATTTCTGTTATTTCATTGCTTATAGCTGCTTAAAAGACTAGAAGTAAAGAAAAAATCATATGTGTAAGCTTTGGTATAATGTAAAATCTAAAAATCTCAGTCATTACCTTTTATTTCTTCAATTCCCTTTTGCTGAAGATTCTGTAAGTTTTCATTATTGCTGGATTTTCTTTTCTTAGAAAGAATTTTTTCGGCCATAGTTTTTTGTTATTGTATTTTTTTGATGATATAATTTTGAGCTGAACTACAATATTTTATGCTAGTGAAAACTGCGTATACGAAAACTTTTATTTTTAAGAAATCAGTTTCTTTTTATAGTTTATTCAGTTATAAGTTATTCACATTAAAGGCAAGTGTGTACAAGTGGAACAAGAAGTGCACGATTTTTGTAAGGAAGATAGACTAATTTATTGAAAATTTTATCTACCTCAAACATTTCCTCAGCGCCACATAAATTCGGGTCAATTAAAGCAATCCCCAGGTGTAAAGATGAAACAGGCTCTGTGGAAAAATCTTCCGGGTTAAGCATTCGCTTACCTTTAAAATGTCCGTCCTCGTAAATTTCAATAATTTTCACGGGAGTATATGTTTCAATTGAGCAGAAGTTGTCAGGAAAAATGGGACGGAAAATAGCAGTAGGTGAGCAAAACATTATCACTCCATTTGCACATTTTTTAAACCCTTGAGAGGATTTTTTATATTTCAATGGTGTATTAAAAAACCTATTATGTAGCTGCTGTGGAATATGCTGCGGTTTTTTAATATTTTTTTTAAGGGTTTTATTGTAATTTTCAAAGTCATAAGCTGTGAAAGTATCAAGACAAGCAAAATTTCTAACTGAATCTGCAAGTTTTCTATATTTGAGCGGTAGTTTTTTGACAAAGAAGCATCCTATATGCGCACAGTAACAGAAGGAAATGATAAAATATTTCTTCTGACAAAAATTCTTTAAAAACAACTAGGCTTGTGTACAAAGCGAACTGTCTAAACTCCACTGCTTTCCATCGAAGCAACTCATCAAAAGACCTTGGCTTTCTTGCAAATTGGAATTTTTATACGACCTTTTCCATTAAAAAGCAGCACCAAAATTTTTTTCATAACGCCTAGATCTATTAGATGCATTGCATCTAGGGGGAATTGCGTTATCATTTTAATACCTATTTCTTCCAGGCAATGTGCCATATCCATATGTGAAGGCTGATGGAAATTTTTATCACTTCTTTTTTCAAAGCTTGAATCAGTACGAAATGCCCCAACTACAGGACTGTAGGTTGTAACATTTCTTTACTGCATCCTGCTAATGAAGTGTGACCTTTTATACAACAAATAAATGAACGTGCAGGTGCATCACATATGAAAGATCGTATTTCAAATTTAATTGTCTTACCGTTGCAAATAAAACCATTGCTAATGAGACTTTTAACTTCTGTTACAAAGTCATGTAAATATGAATCAACAATAAAAGGCTTTTGTTTGCCAACATAGCTTCCTATCAAAAAAACGTATTTATTGGGGATATTTACGAGGCGTCCTAATATTGGCCACAACGCAACCGAAGAGCTTTTATATAATGGCAATCCATCTATTCCTACATCCAAAATTACCTCACTGATTCTGGCTATTTCCATTTCATCTGCTAATTTATATAATTGGTTTTCAATGCCTATATGAATATATTGCCCCGGAGAAACGGTACGAATTTTCATAGCCCGATTTCTTTCCAGTAATCCGGACACACTTCTTGGCACCTTGCGATATTTAGATACTCAAAAGTTTCGTACAACATTTTTGGGAAGGAATAAATTCTAAGTACCAATCTTGCAATTCCTTCGTTAATGTTTTTTTATTACTTGCACTAAAATAATTTACTTCACAATAATCGTGCACTTCATTATTTTCTGAGCTCGTTCTCTCGAGCGCAGCACTTGTTTCATTATCTTTAAAATATTTTCTCAAGCGATCACACTCTTTTTTTATTAATCGTTTTTGATGCCTGTTACTAATCAGATTTATTATTTACTATATTTTTTAATGTTACAGTTTTATTATAATTTTTGTTTTAACTTACACCCACCGATTTATTCACCTCCGCGCACTTCACTTCTGCATACAAGACTGGTGAAATAAATGAAATTGACAAAAAATGCCAAACAAAAAGCAAAAAGAAAACAAAGTCATATAAGTTGCAAAAAACAACGGGATAGCTATTCAAATTTTTCGCTTATTTGTTGCATTACAAGTAAACGAAAACAAAAAAAAAAAACAAAAAAAGTAGATGTTGCAAAAAATAACGGGATAACTATTCAAATTTTTCGCTTATTTGTTGCATTACAAGTGGCGTTCACTTCAAAAAATAATGCATTACATATAATCGGTAAAGTAAGCGAATGGGCATTTTCAAGCAATTTGTAATGCATTCTTTAATTAAAAACAAATCGGAGCGGTTACCAAAATGGGCAAAATTTTTGCTGGGTAGGGATGCAAAGCAGAGGTGCACGCAGTCGACGTCGCGGGCAAACTGCGCGCACGCGAGTGTGCTGGGCGAGGTGAAGTGAGCTGTACGGAGATGGCAACGTATACATATTAACCACCACACTTATTTTCAAGTAAAAATGCGTGTATATATGTGTACTTTTGCGACAACTGAGCCAGTGTGGCATCAGACCACCAGAAAAAGCCAATTTTTCCAAAACAAAAGCGCCAAGTTTTTATTATCATGTTTAATAATGTTTTTGATTCAGTAAAAAGTGTATATACATATCCATTTCCTCACATTTTTTTTTATAAATTAATTTCAATACATTTATAGCAACGCAAAACATATTTAATTTACCTATTCCTCACATTTTATTCAGTAAAGGAATTCCATCTTAATGTAGAATATTAGTGTATAGTGTATACATACATACATACAAATGTACCTATGGATTCGGTGTGCTTACATTAAAAAAGCATGACTAAATAATGCACCAAGCATTGAATTCCATTTATTTTGGCTTTTGGTTTCCCAAAAGCACTAAATTTAGTGCAAAATGCCCGACCTTGGCAACAGTGAGCTGAGCACATCAATGCTCAAACAGTGATGCCAGACCAAGTATTAAGTAAATGCTCTATGTATATTTTTCTTTTAAAGCAAAAGTTCTAATTGGCGAGGGTATTGATTTTTGGTTCTTACATAGAACACTGATAAGATTCACAAACTTATCTTAGGACTTAATTAAAGTTATCAACATTATTTGTAGACGAATATATTTGTGTTCGTATGAAATAGTAGCTTATGTCGGGAGACTGGCTTTGGTAAAATATACCATTTCCTATATTCTTTAAACCACAAGGAAATTTTATGAAACTTTATACGAATATTGACTTGCTATCATCGCCATTAACATTACCGTCTTTTACGTTTATTTTCCAAGAGTTCGTCAACGACTCGGCGCCAGTGAGTCTTTCGCAATCGTATGCTGCGAATGGTTCATTATACTAAAGCCAGTCTTCCGACATAAGTTACTGTTCTATACGAACACAGATATGTATACTTCCTAATAGGCTTGTAAAATGCCCAATACTCAAATCCTTCGCATGAGTTATTATCGGTAAAAAATTGGGTACGCTCAAATCTGGCATCGCTGCAGCAAGTACAGCGCCAGTGAAACAGTGTTGATATTTTAAGTACAATTGTACTTTTTTCAATACAATTAATTTTAAAATGTACAAAAGTACAATTTGCCGATTTTAAGTACAATTTCAACATCAAAAATACTTTTTATACCAAACGCTCAAATCTCTTCTAGCACTTTGATTCTTAATCCGTTTACATTTAAGTAAATGGATATACCTATATTTCATATTTGCTACAAAACGAAATTATGAATTGTAATTTTGAATGTAAACGTGATTTTGAACAGTAATATTACAGATGTGCGTTATGGTAATTGCGATTTCTTATCACCGGCGGGTGAAATATCCCTCATCGCTATTTATTTTGAAAAAATCTTTGGAAATGCAATTTACCTAATGGCGATCCTGCAGAAATAGAAGTAATTGAGCACTTCGGGGGTTGAAAGTAAAAAAATGTATGTAAATTCCATGCGTTGAAATTATAAATTTCCCTTGAGGATTTCCATTTTATCGATAGTGATCTCATGTTATGTTCATTAATATGAACTGACCTATATAGTGTACTAATGTTTTATCATCATTGTCTTCAGCTTTGACAAAATTACACGGTCATCCGGTATTTATTTTATTTTTTTAAATAATTTTAATTATTTTTTTTATAAAATTGTAGCTCATTATCAAACAAAAACCTCGCAAATAAATCGAAACCTGAAAGAATGAAAAAAGTCAACAAAGTTTCATCAAATTTTCACAGTTTTTGTTCAGAATTTGTAGACTTTTTTTGGGTTAACATTTTTGTAGCCCATTCATTCTAGTATAATAAGGTGCAAGTTTGAAGTGTCTAGAAAATACCATCGATTTTTTGAATTTTTCTGTTTGCGGTGTTGCGCACTTTCTTCCATATAACGAACGCATTTTATGTTATATGGATGAATGCGCGTATAGCGTTGTTGTTTTTTATTCCAATATTTTAAATTAAGCTTTATTTTATAGTTTTTTCTTAGACAATGATAAATGATGTACACAAATTTCAGGATGGAAAAAAGTTCTCAAAAATCTACGCGAATTGAATGTACTATCTCGATCATTTAAACATCTCGGACTCGCCCACCACTAAAAATGATTATTTAAATCTAAAGTATATATTAAATGATATTTAATATTTGCTTTAGAGATGAAATTTCGACAAATTAGTTTAAACAAAAATGTTAAGCGCATTTGCAGAATGTGGAAGCGAGATTCTTCTGCTTGCGTTTCTATGTTTATATCATTTATCAGTTTAAGCACATACGAATAAATGTAAGAAACATATTTTTAATTGCGGATCCGAAAGAAATATTTATTAGTTGCATTGAGTTACGCAAAAGTAGTGCCGAAAATCAATCGATTGTGCTAAAGGTGCCGGCTGCTTCCGAAAGGGCCGAAAATGGTACAAAGCACACTCATTTTCCATCACTGTCACACATACAATCTCAATATTCTGCTGACTTCGTTTTCCCCTTCCGATAACTTTTTGCTTCCCCGCTTGCCAAGCACCGATGTGCAAAGCTTTGCACGCGCAGTCGCCCGCGACACATATGTGCTGATTTGGGAATCCCTAGAATACAAGATTGCGC